ATGCAGTTTTCTTGGCAAAGATACTGGAATGGCTTGCCAGTTCCTGCTCCAGGTGGATCATGTTTAGTCAGAACTCTCCACTATGTCCTGTCCATCTTGGGTGTCACTGCGCGGCATAGCCCATAGCTTCTCTGAATTGCTCAAGCCCCTTTGCCACAACAAGGCAGCAATCTGTGATGGGGTGTTTGTAAAGGTAATGGGTCTTAATTGCCCATTGAAGACAAAATCACTGAAAAATATTTTGCATTTCAGCAAGTGTATTTCACAGCAATATACTTTTGCTAGGAAAAATTCACCCCAAGTAGCTACAGTGGACCCTCGACTTACAGACGGCTTGACTTACAGACTTTTTGAGTTACAGACTTCTCTGGCTGCAAAATTTAGATTCGACTTGCAGCCGGAGAATCAACTTACAGACCAGAAAAAAACCCAAAATGGGACAAAAATAGAATAAAAACTGCTGGTTATGGGATTAATCGGTTTTCAATGCATTGTAGGTCAATGGAGATTCGACATACAGACTTTTCGACTTGCAGCCACTATTCCAATATGGATTAATTCCTTAAGTAGAGGGTCCACTGTAGTGTGCAGATTCTGTGTACAAGAAACAGGGCAGGGGGGAACAGGGGGAAGAGATGACGTCATTCCTGCTAATTTAAAAAGCTCCAGCACTCTGGCCCCATTAGTCTTCACTTGATTGCTTCCTGGACCTGCTGTTGTCTATGCCTCCATATGAAGGTACAGTACTGTATTATGAGATTAATAGGCCATGGAGGGGGTTGGGAATCAAGTTACCTGTTACAGTATTTTATTTTTTTTAGAAGCTCATGTCTTCCTAGTCCTAACACAATGAGACCAGCACAAACTGTGCATTCCACATAGCTGACTTCTTGCAAGGAATGTGAGGCTATGTCAGTAAGGAAAAAGCATAATGAGATAACTTTTTCCAGGACCATTCTTGCACCATCACCACCACCACCACCAGGGGCTATGCATTAACTGTTCAATTAGCTGTGTGATAAAATGGGTATCTCTGGGCTTTTAAAAGTCTGGGTGTGCTCCTAGGCCAAAATCAGGTCTCTTGGCCTGGGAAGAACAGGCAAATGTA